GTTTTGGGTTTGGTCCGTCGTATTGGTACCGTTCCTTTCGTCCACGAGAGTTACTTCGTCACGTGGACCGACCGACCCACTCGCCCTCCCCTCCGCCCACCTACACCACTGCGCCTCCCTCCTCCACCGGTCGCGTCTCTCTCTCTCTCTCTCTCTCTCTCTCTCTCTCTCTCTCCTTTTAGTTCAACAATGTTCAGAAACTCGGTTTGGTTCAGAGCAGGGTCGTCAACTCGTCTCTGCTAAGGGACTCGGCCAAGCCCTGAAATGGGTGAAATAACTCAAATATAGTTGAAAACAACGAAAAACAAGAAAGTAGTATTAGAAATCATTATAGGTCTAAAAAGATGAAAAGTCTCTGTAAAAGATTTTTATTAAAAGTGTAATTAAAAGTTTTGATTTAGATCTTCAATGTTTATGAAAAATTGAAAAACAAACGAACTACCTTAAGAACTATCCAAATGATAAAAAAAAACTAAGGGTGCAGTTTGCATACTGATGCATCCGTAGGTGTAGAGGTAAGGTGCACCTTCAAATTTTATCATGGTATGTAATTTTGAGGTAAAATGTTTTTAATATTATCTCAAGATCTATTTTTATATTTAATTATAAACTTTTAAATTTAAAAAATAGTTAAAATCAACTAGATCTATAAATATATGAAAATCTTGAAAATAGAAATTGCGGATAATATGTTGTAAAATGCATTATTTTTTGGACTTAAAATCTTTTTATTTTTTATAATCATACATCTCAATGTCGAAATGATCAATCGGAAAGTTTTTCAACATTAAAACTACCTATTCCCATGGACTTTTGAGGGGCATCCGTAGTTCTCATTATAAAGCAGCATCTTTATATAAACTTTTTTCAAAAACTAATTTTATGGTTGTGTTTTCTATTTTCTATTTTTCTATTTTTTTTATTTTTTAATATTTTTTGGGCTCTTCAGCTTTACCCATAAGGCTAGTCCGGGTAACTTCCCAGAGTTTGAGTGGACAAGAGGGAGTCTGTGAATGCTGTACAGTTTGCACAGCACCAAACTAGACCTCAAAAATTCAAAACAAATACAATAAATTCTTTAAAATAAAAATAAAAAAAATAAAATAAGTAATTTGAAATCATTAAAATATAAAAAATTATATAAAAAAATTGATTTATATCTGGAAATATTTCAAAAAAAATAGAGATTAAAATATATAATAAGACTCCTATGCAGGTTGTCAAGACAAAGTTACTCGGTCGAGTCCAAGCCAACTCAACCAGAAAACTGTTATTTTAGAAAATTAACTTACCAAAGTTAGGATGCAATTCGGCCATTAAATTGTAATATTTTTATATTGCAATAATTTGATATAAATTTTTAGTATAAAATTTATCTGAAAATTTGAATTAAGGTGCTCCATTTTTTTATGGGAAACTATTTAAATAAAATATTGGAAATTGGATCGGATCATAGCATGCGATTGCTTAAAGAGGGATCTTAATGTTTGAGGTAACGAACAATGATGCTGCTGTTCTTCCCTGTAATTTGTGAAATTTTATATATTTGTCCAATGTACTTTTATAATTTTCACCAAGAAAACGTTTAAAGATTCATTTTTGTTTAAAAAGTCATTTTACATTTAATTGAAATTTTAATAGAAAAATCCTCTACACCCAATTATACGAGGGGTTCAGTAAGTGTTACCCAATATTTGATGTCTTGTGTCGGCACGTGATATTTATATTAATTTATTAACTTAAAACGCCAATATGAAAAAAAAGTATCAAGACATATCAATGTGGTTATTATATTATAATAACATTTAATGCACCTGAAATTTAAATGTGATTGTATAAACTTGGGAAAGGAGGTATGGGGTTCAAACCCTTTCCTAGGTCTCTTGGGTGTGGCTGAAAGCAATCATTGAGATGATTATGGTGTACAATGTGTAGGCAATATGCTAAGACATGTAAAATAACATGTATTTAAATATCTTTTTTTTAATATTAATATTTTACTCAAGAGAAATAAAAAAAAAAAGAGATATAAAACAATTAAGCAAAATTAGTAGTTGAGTCATGGTGAGCACCACTTTTGGTAAGAGAATCTACTTCATTGTTGGATTCCCTATAGCACATGACAACAGATTGAGACATTAAAAGCTCTCTAATCTCCATAAATAACGACGTTAACTTCCATAGGAACCTAGTTTCCCTTTGCCCAAAGGTATAATGTTTGTTGTCCCCTTAAGCAATTTTACCGCACTCCATGCCTCTTAATAGTTTGAACCCTTTTAGCATATCCCAAGCTTCCGCTTCATTAATAGTAGCAGTGCCACAAGGCCCAGAACATAAATATATCTTAATATCTTGTAATAATAAAACGATGTTATATGGTTAGAAACCCCAAACTTGGTGGTACCCCTCATATTTATCTGAACATTTTGTAATAGTATCAAAAAGTTAGTATGCATTGTTATTTATGAGTAGAAAACCTGAGCTTGGCGCCCCCCTTATGCAGATGAACGCAATGTTATATTGTTGGGACATGTATTGCATTCAATAATATTGAAATGTCTACTACTTCAGGTTCAAAAAGGTAATATAATGATACATATATAATAATTTTTATTAAAATATATTATAAATCTAAAATATTGATATTTTATATTAATATTGAAATATCAAATATGATTGGCGCAGCAATAGACATGAATTCTACTGAAGAAGCCCTACGCCCTATGTCCAACCTAATTTTAGAGCACATAAGCTTCTACCAAGTTCATAAAGCCTACCACTGCTCAAATCACATTTACATGCAATAAAAATGAACTATTATATTACATACTTTAAAATACTATATTATAGAACACTAATAGCATGAATACCATAACACCACTTAATTCAATATTAGTAGTTCACAATCAAGCCTCCCAATTTCATAATCAATGACCATGGTTGACTGCAAGTTCCATATGCCAATGGTAAATAGTTTTATTCTATATTTTTTTAAAACAATTGCAACAAAGAAATGTATGCCCATATTGCCATTAGACCAAGACCAAACTACTGGATATTTAGCATGATACTCATGTTGGGGTCCATGTAAAATCGGTTCCAATGAGTTATCTTCCTCTATGAAGATCTATGTCTACAAATTTGATCGTTACATTTTCAATGGTAGGGGTGGCAATGGGTCGGGTCCGGCTGGACCCGTATCTGGACCCAGACCCTAATGTATTCGAGTTTAGGTTTTCGACCCGGATCTGACCGGTTGGGTCTAAAAGTTGAGCCGATACCCATTCTCATTAGGTCCTGGGTCTATCCCGTCGAGTCTCAGTTCTGGTCGGATCCATTGCTACCCCCACTATGAGCTTTTTTTTTGTAGCCTACAATGGTGAACAATATAGAACTAATTTTTTAAGGGTGAGCGTTTAGAGAGAGAGAGAGAGAGAGAGAGACGTTTGAGATCTAAACAGAGAGCTAAGTCTCCAAAAAAACTGAGAGAGAGAGGATGGCAATAGGGTTTGGCTATTTGGGGAACTAGGGGAAGACAAAAAATATTGAAATGATTTAGAGTTGGGACTTTGGCCTCTGGGTAAAGTAAAATTTTAGGTCCGGGTACACGCTGGATCGGGTGTAGCAGAACCCATACCTAGACCCGGGGCTATCCGGCTATCCGTTATTAGAGCCGGACCCTACCTGTGGGTCCAAAACTTGGACCCACAGACCGGATCCATTGCCAACCTTTTCAATGGTAATATTTTTCAGAAAAGCAATGACCATTATTAGCAATACCATTTTTCTCTGATGCAAATCTGCATTGCCACATGCTAATTGGACTATTATTGCATCCAAACTGACTAGGAGCATGGGAAGCACGTCGTATATAAAATAATTGGCGTTAAATTGTTAATAGAATTTAGGGAAATTTATCAAAATATCTAAGAGATGAATTATTTAATATATTATATAATTCTTTTGATCTAACTTTAAAATACCTATCAAATTACACATAATTATAACTCGCAATAGTTGCGAAAAAGGGTAAAAAGTTAAATAGCTAGTTATTTCTTTCCCTAGAATTTATGCCCTAGTTTGTTAGCTAAATTTGCAATATTGCCTTTATAAGTAAACATCCTTAATATTGAATACACCTAGAGTGGGAGAGACGTATATAATTATATACATTTGAAGTTGAAATTTCAAAAAGCTTTTTTGTTGACAATGTTAACAACTTTATTTACCCAAAAAAAAACAAATGTTGAGATCTTTATTGATAAAATTTTCGTCCATACAAAAGTTACAAAGCAAACAGCAACAACTCATAAACTACAAGATTAAACAAAGAACATCCTCGCTTTGCCAAAAAATCAGCCACCTCATTCGCCTCGATACGCACGGGTGAACGACACATTCAAAGAAGAACATATATATAATCTGCATCTAAATCGGCCTTAAAACCCATGATACCTTTTGTTCCCTAATGCACCACTTAAAAGTATTAAGAGAGTTTCACTCTACTAATATGGAAATTTGAAAAAATATGTTGTGATACGGTTTGTATTTCCAAGTGCATGTTACTAGCTCCTCAATATGCAACAAACAATTGAGGGGTGGGATTCAAAGTTTGATATGTTCAGAGCAGGGTAGTGATAGTTCTCAACCATCCATTGTTGACATCATGTGATTAAGGAGCTGCCAACAACCTGTTTGAAACCGAAAACGCTCGACAACAGTACAAAAATCATTTGGCATTCCCCAAAGCAAACATCTTTTTTGAAACCATGTCCCTAAATTCAAGTGATTGACATTTCCCTATATTCAACTGATTGGGGGTTGAGGCCAGTAGAGAGTAGTGAACATTGTTGGTGAGGCATAATTTATTATGCTCCTATGGGAGTATATTGTCTATTTACTCGTTCATGTAAAACTCAATCTAAGATTAACTTTAGGATATCAATCTAGAATTAACTTTTAGGACATCAAAATTTGCACATGTGACCAGCCTAGTCTCAATAGAAAACAAACTGCACTCTTTATAGGCCTGAAAAAAAATAACATCTCAAGATTGAACAAAGGCCGTTCAATTTTTGGAGGGTATGATCTAAGTGTTCAAAAGTTTAAAATTCAAATTTTTTTCTCTTGAAAATAATCATTTGGTGATCCTTAGGTGGTTCCCAAATTTTCAAATGAAACTGCAAAGTGGGTTTTCATAAATTATTTATACTAATTGATGTTTACTTTGTGATTTGCAGGTTCAAAATTTATCCCATGAGACTCGCCATATTCGGGGTTGTATATGGCTTTACATTATATAAATTGTGGATGTACATTGTCCACTAGCTTTGTTTTTTAGAGGTTTTTCAGTGTTTCGAAATGTAGTCACTTGTTTAGGCCTCAACAGACATTTAAAATTCGTTCAATTATGGAACATTAAGCGGGCCTTCTTTATTTGACACTGACTAAATATTCAATAGCTTACATGCGATGGGTGTATATATCGTGATCAAGGGTGGAGTTTCAAAAAAATAGAATTAAATGATATTTTATATGAATTTTTGTTGTGTCCAAACAATTTCTCAAAGGTGTTAATTGTGCGAGTTTTATTCAGTTCTTCCATTTGATCTGTCAAAAAAAATTCATGATCAAGACACAATTTTTACTCAATTCTTCCAATTTATCTGTGAAAAAAGATTTCATGATTATGTGCCATATAATTTATTATGAGAAAGTATATAATAAAGCCATTATCTTTCATACATGAAAATAATAATCACCTTTAGCTATAATATGTGAGATAAAGTGGCTGGCCGCTTGAGGCATCCTTTATCAGACTATTGTCAAAAACAAAAAGCAAACTTTGTGAGGCACACCTAATCATCGGATTTTACATCCGACAATTAAGATTAATTATAACCTTTTGTAGCAAAAACAAAATTTCTTGTGGTACAAATCCCAATGCATTTTCTTGATTTAGTTTGTGAAAGTGAAGTCCTTTTTATTGCATCATAAGATATAAATTGTATTCGCAAGGGGTTCATATCATTTTCATTGCGTAATCATTTTCGTTGTGTAATATAAAAGCGATGTGCTGAAGTTTAAATCACTGTATACACTGACTAGCAACAACCGGCTAAACTTTAGTTAAACTGCCAAGTCTGTGTGCCCATGGGAAAAAAATGTACATCTGCACCCTTTGGGCGAAACCCCAGCTGCGAGTAGAGTATCTCTAGCACCCTACAGTTTGGTAATGTGACCCACTCCACCCAGCCATACAAAAAAAAAAAATTGCATATGCACTCCAAGAATGCTTGAAAACAAATCCGTCATATTTTCCGAAAGTCAAATGAAGCGCATAGAAACTCAGAATCCATTTCTCTTTGCAAACTAGATTGTGAAAGTGGATCCCAAAATTTTAAATCACCCGGTCTCTCTTTTGCCTATGGGGATGTAAACTTACGATTTGCTCCCACTGTCCCACAGACACAGTAGATCGTACTTTCAGAATTGAAAAAAATAAATAGAAGTCCTAACCATTCTATGGGTGAAGTAGTGTAAATAAAGCAAAAAATTTATAATGCAAGAAAAAGATCCAAAGTTGAGATGACCCAAGTAAGATTTATTGAGGAATATGCATGGGCAGTAAGATCTAATAAGGAAAATGCTTGGGACAATGCAAGAAGGTTTATCAATAGCTCTCTCTCTCTCTCTCTCTCTCTCTCTCTATCTNCTCTCTGTTCTNTCTCTCTCTCGTCTATCT